ATATCATTGACCCTGTCAGATCAGTTGCGCTTGTTGTAACATTATTACTCAACATAAATATCTAAGTGGTAGATTTTGACGTACAACTTCCCAAATATGATATTTCATACCATTGATTGGAATTAATTAATGTTCTTTTCCTGTAACCATTTTATCTTTTGTCCAAGTATAACATGGATTTGGTTGCACGTATCGTGAATGATAACTGGTATTATCGATTATAATCAAAAAAGGATATTCCAGATTAGGTATATAGATTTCGTCTTAAACCATTATTCAAAATTTTCTGTGTTTATATATTATTATGGTAATACCAGCTTCTTGTTTGACTTTTAAATATAAGGTCTGAATTTTTTATAAACTTTTCTCCATTGAAACCATTACGTAATTCTTGGTAAATATTTTTTATTAGCATGCCTCCCAAAGGCGTTCCTATAAAGAACAATTACCATGTTTTAGATTTGTCGTCTTTCTCTATTCATAGAGTAACAAGTTCCGAGGAACTACTAAATATGTAGCAGATTTTGAAATGGATACATCATCCACTTCTAAGTAACCAACGCTAGCTATAGCGGTTTACAAGAAACGTCACTTCAAATAGTTTCTAGTATCAATTTGAAATTATACCCAGAGGTTTTCCTCCAATAAATAAAGTAGACAATAAATCAGAGGGTGAAAGTTGGGCTTGTCGTCGATCTGGGAGGACAATTTTGTATGAAAAAAATATTCACTACAATTTTAGTCATTATTGAATATAAATAAGTCAAAGACAGCATAGATTTTTCGACGCCACGTTCAAGTTACTATAAATGTTGCTAATATTTGCGGCATGGTTCCCTAATACTGGTTAAAATTCTTTTTAACACTGTTCTGAACTCAAATTTTGAATTTTTTCCCATTAGTGTCTTCGATTTCAACAACTTAAGCCATTATCCTCTAGTTTCGTGTGGTTTATGGAGTGCTAGTATTGTAAATGATTAAAACTCGCAATCTCTCTATTAAAAGAGACATAAAATCACTGTTCCAATTGTTACCAAAATAACCAGATTTAATTAAAAAGAACTGTTCTATCGAAAAATCATCGCAGACTGTTGTTGAGATCGTAAAGTAAATCGTGTGTTTTTAGTTGCCGAGTGATTCTAGTTTGGGATATTTTACACGTTATAAATTGGATTATCATGGTTATTTTTCAGTTCTCTTTGTAACTGAGATTTTGATAACATCATTGATGTAGGGAATGTCGAGATCATTATATAATGGACCCATGGAGCATCTCTTTAACTGGAATGACCACGTTAATTGCATGTTAGAATTTTATGCTGTGGCCCATATTTATTTGAGAATTATTTTATAAAGTAGAAGCTTCCTTTGCAACAAAAGCTGTGAACAACGTCCATCTATACGGGCAATCTGGACTAATAAATTTCGTAAGATATTGTGGACAAGAAATGAAAAGGCTAGACATAACAACTAATGCTTTGTTCAGATTTTCTTAGGAATTGTCTGGAAATCAATAGGGCTAAGAATTGGGACTACAACAAACAATATCTTGGTTACGATTGACATTTTTACAAAAGAAAGGATGATTATTACATATTACAATAAGAAAGAAAGTAAATCAAGTAATCAATTTCATGAAACCTTACTTCTTTTTATTTTTAGAAACGAATTAAATAATACATACATGACATATTTAGGAGGAACTGAAAACTCGAGAGGTGTAGTATAAGAAGAGATTATTAGAAATACAAAATCTAGACAGGTAACCAATAAAACCATTGTGTTTATTTTTGCATTGTTCATATAGAATTATTATTATTTAGAATTATTATTATTTATAATATTGTTACGCAGCACCCTGCAGTAGCCTGCGGCTATTATAGGAAACGTACAGATAGAAAAAGAAGTAGAATGTTACTCATCCCCTACAGTGTGCTGCGTTCACATACTTTGATTTTCTCTTACTATACGGAGAATGGTCGCACTGCGCAGCTTTCTGAGTGCCTTTTAAAAGGAGATAGAAAACTCTGCCATTTTGATGCCTTATTACATCTTGGCGCAATATTTTTAAAAGGTGCGTTTTAATTATCCGCTTCTGCTTCGTTATCGGTTTTCTTGTTTTAATCTGACAGGTTAAAATGACTAAACCGACAATTCCGGAAGCAGCAGCGGATGATTAAAACGCACCTGATATTTTGCTTGCTGCTGTCAGTGTCAGTAAATATTATTTTTAGAGTCACAGTTTATTGCTAAAGAATCAGTTAGCTGACTCGGACCAGTTAAAAGTTCCAAAATAACATTCACTCCAGGGATACAAATTTAGGATGCGCAGAAGACTGCTGTTTTATTATGGGCGGTTGTCATATATTGTATTATCCGAGTTGCGCAGTGTATAAACTGGAACATTGAGATCAAAAGTGCCGACGCAGAGTAAGCGAACTGATTCTTTAGCTATAATCTATCGTAAAGGCATCAAAATGGCCGCGCCCTATGTTGGGCGTGTCGGACCTCTCTCTTGCACCGTATAGCTGCGGTCGTCATGAGTAAAAGTAGAAGTAAAAGAAGATAGGATAGTCCAGAAATGTCATTACCCGTCAAGAATATTCTAGACGACAGTTCGCGAAGGTTTAAGAAGGGTCAAGTAAGCTATATAAGGATGATCCTGACGTCAGTTTTCAGTTTTATGATAGAAGTTACATGTTAATGTTATCAGTTGTATAATTGTTGAATTGAGTTATTGTAAAGTTGAATTGGAATAAATTGTGATACCACAAACCAGCGTAACAATATTTTTTTTTAATATTAAATTGTTGTTAAATAAAGATTCTGTCTTCAGGTAAATTGCAGTTAAATTCTTAATATAAACCAAATAATAGATTTATATGTGCAGACAAGTGCTTTAAAGTCATATAAACCCATATCAAATCAAAGGTACAGTTATCATCGCCATACCAGTTTTGTTGGGCAAATGCTTTTATAATATTTTACATATTCATTTTTTTAATTAATAGATATTAATTTTTTGTGTCTATTGTAAAATTGGCAAATGTTTATTTTTTGCGTATAATGATTCAATTACATAATTGCAAGGCGCACCAACAGTGTTAACAAATTAAAAGCAAATATAAAACACAATTACAATTAAAAATTAAAAAAGATGGGTTTATTTTTAATTAACATTATAAAATGCTGAAACAAATTTAGCCGTACTGAAATATAGCCTAATCCAAATGGTTCCGGTGTTCTTCCAAAAACTTTTAGCAAATCTAAGCAGCTTCATTTGATGAGCGAGGCATTAAATCCACCTCCCTCAGGAGCTGTACGCCTTCAATTACCCTATTTTCACGTTTTAAACGTCTGTAGGGACTAAAAACAACGCCCTGGAACGGTAAACACCGAACATGGAATGACGGGAAAGCATAATGTTGGGTAATAGCCACGTTAAAAGGAAAATCGTCGGGAAGAGTTGACAAATCAACAATTACAGATATAAATGAATGGCAAACCTTTTAAAATTGTTTTACATTGCTATGCAAAATCGTTTAAGAAATCACCCATTAGCGTCTCTGAAGGCAGGTATATAATATGATCTATGATTTTGTTGTTAGTAAGAGGTTACCTTAAGGGTGGTCCTATATAAATTTGATCAAGATGTGGTGATGGAATCTGCATGATTTTGAAGTCTATTTTTTAAAACTACTTGTAAAGATATAAGTTATACCTTATAGGGTAGTTCAATAGTACATAAAAAATTAAAAATATATTTAGAAAGAAGTTATTAGAATTAAATATTTTAAAATATTTCTAATCCAAGAGTTTTTATTAGATTTTACTTTTGTATTATCATCTTTAATTCATATATAGTCATTGTAAGATTTTATATTGTCAACACGTGTGTATGTTTCATTTTTGTTCTTCTTAGGTATAGCTAAATATGTTGCAGTTTATGAAAATGGTTATAAAATGTGATTGGGATGTGTGCAAAAACAAAGGGCTAACTTTTAGGCCAAATTGTATCTATTCTGATTTTATGAAGAAGCAATGCATTAGACTATAATAAGGACCTGCATGAGGGGGTTGCATTATCAACTTTTAATGCTAATTAAGAAAATTTGTATATGCACGAGAGATTGGAAGATCCATATTCATTCAAGGGCGTAGATAAGGGGGGGATAATCCATAGTCAACATCAATATATTTTAAACGTTATAATAAATAAAAATAGAGAGATGAAATAAAAACAATGAAACAAAAAGTTTCTCAAACATTGTCACCTAAAATAATAATATTCCTACAAATTGAAAATTAAAATTTATACAGGGTGGCCACTTTTTTAATGGGATTGTATTAGTAATTTCCAAACTATACTAGTTAGAAAGTCGGTTAAATGGAGAAAAAGTTGCCTATCTCGAAGCATAATCTAGCGGTGAAAATTAATCGAAAATAGCAGGCCCGGCTCTTGAGATATTTCGATAAAAGGAAATTCGATCTTTTCGGTTTTTTGGTTATCGTTCATTTATTTTCAGAACTACTAAAAAATATTTTAGAGGTTTTTTATTTGATAGTAAATTTTCTTTGATTTGACGTTTTCATATTTTGCATCCAACGTTTCGTATTCTCCAGACCACCCTCAACTTATTTTTTTAAAATATGGACCTGGATATTTTATAACATTATTTGAAATAACTTTTTGTCCTGCATCCAGCGGTGTATTACACAATGGCATTCAATGACGGTTTTTGGGTAATATGGACCGTAATCCAAATTTTATTTAATTTACGCTTGGTTTCAGCCATCTTTAGTTATATCAACATGTCATGCTCCTCGATAAAAAAATAAAATCAATTCTTACAAAATTTATGTAATTTTTCGAAAATTAAATAATTCATCAACAACAACAATAGTAATGTAGAAATTTTAAAACGAAATTAATAATAATAAAAAAAAAGAAATTCAGTTTTTGTTAGTCATAATCAAATTATTTAAAAATATCAATAAAATTAATTGAGTAATTGTTCAAAATGCCCGCCATCTTCTTCAATACATTTAGCAATTCTGATATTCATATTTCTTATGCTATTGCTTATTTCTTCTTCTTGGATATCTTCCAATGCATCTTCAATCTTTTCGCGGAGAATCTCAATTGTTGCATTTGGTGTATTATACACTTTATTTTTGAGACGTCCCCACAAATAAAAATCTAATGGATTCAGATCTGGCGATCTGGCAGGCCACGCCACTGGACCTCTTGTTCCAATCCATGAATTGGGAAAAGTCTAATTCAAATAATCCGTGACCATTCTTGAATTGTGTGGACCACATCCATCTTGTTGGAACCAGATTTCGTTAAGACGATACTCTAAAGGAAGAGCATCTAACATATCCTGCAGTATATCTAAATATTTTTCTGCAGTAAGGTTTCCGTCAATAAAGTATGGTCCCAGTAATTTATTATTTAACAAACCGCACCACATATTCAAAGAGAAACGATATTGATGTCTCACTTCTTGGATTAGGTGAGGATTTTCCATAGCCTAAAAATGTTTATTTCTTCGATTGAACATACCAGAATTTGTAAATGTTATTTCGTCTCCCCAAATGATATTGTATGCAAAGTTGTTATTAATTCTTACCTTTCGTTTAAACCAATTACAAAATCGCAATCTTCTTTCAGGATCGTTACGATATAGTTTTTGTACAGCTTGGTATTTGTAATCATGGTATCCGTGTCTCTTGATTATCTTATTAACAGCACTTTTTGATAAGTTACATTCACTTGCAATAGTACTCGAACCAACTCCTGGATTTATTCGAATTTGAGCTAAGACATTAATATCGTTGACTGGCTCCTTTCTTCGAACATACTGAACTCTAGTTTTATTGAATGTATTATGTTCGAGAAGAGTTGTAGACAAACGCCGAAAAATTTTTATATTTGGTTGCATTCTGTCGGGATATAAATCCTCGTACCTTTGTTTTGCTCTGAACGAATTTCTGTTCAGTTTGATGTGTAATTCGTACATATCTCGTCTTTCTTCTGCAGTGTATCTTACCTTATTGAAGTTAGACTAGGTACCAAGAAACACACAAAAACTTTTGAACAATGAGAAATTTTCGTAAAGCAATAAAGAACAACATAATATTAATATGACAGTTCTTGTAATATGGATTGTTTTCACGGCCTACTATATTTTATAACAAGTAAGATGATAATAGTTTAAAATCATATCAATTGCTGTGCCAGTAATAAAATAATATTTTGCCTTCAAATTTTGTAGGTATGTATTGTCAAAAATAGAATCGAAAATATCTTTTAATCATTTACCTTATGAAAATATACTTTTTAATAGTCGAATAATTGAATAATTATTAATTCTTATTTATTTTTTCCTAATTATAATCACTTTATCTTCGAAGTATTATACACTGAAAAAATTAACGCTGATTATAAATTCAATACAGATGATCCGTACCAATAAAATTTGGATTACGGTCCATATTACCCAAAAACTGTCAGTGAATGCCATTGTGTAATACACCGCTGGATGCAGGATAAAAAGTTATTTCAAATAATGTTATAAAATATCCAGGCCCATATTTAAAAAAAAAAGTTGATGGTGGTCTGGAGAATACGAAACGTTGGGATGCAAAATATGAAAACATAAAATCAAAGAAAATTTATTATCAAATAAAAAATCTTTAAAATATTTTTTAGTAGTTCTGAAAATAAATGAACGATAACCAAAAAACCAAAATGATCGAATTTCCTTTTATCGAAATATCTCAAGAACCGTGCCTGCTATTTTCGATTAATTTTCACCGCTAGATTATGCTTCGAGACACGCAACTTTTTCTTAATTTAACCGACTTTCTAACTAGTATGGTTTGGAAATTACTAATACAATCCCATTAAAAAAGTGGCCACCCTGTATATACACTATATACACTAATGGGACCAGTTCGTAATTGTTCAATATTTCAATTTGTGTTATTGACAAGCAAACAAGTTTTAATAAAAGTTATATGGATTTAAAAAATACATATTTTAAAAATATTTTTGGATATACAGGGTGTTGCGTTTTTGCCTGACAAATAAAAATGTATGTTTTTAAATAGAACACCCTATATTTTATTTTATTTTTAGAATGGCTTGAGAGTACTGTATTTTACTCTAGAATTTTTAAAAAAATATTACAGTGTTGCCAAACAATTTTTTTTTAAATTAGAGAATGATGCAGACCCCAAATTAAATTATCATAATTTAGGTAGGTTTTTATTAATTTCAAAATTGTTTAATATACATACTAATAAAATACTAAGCTAACGAATAGAGGTGTGATACAACTGGTTTATTCTATAGAAAGTGTTTTGAAACATGTTTTAAATATGGCTAATTTTAAGTTCAATTTACTCAATTTTTTCAAACGCAACACACTGTATATTATCTTAGAATAAAATTCCCTATAAATATGCTCATGTAACAATACTAATGTGTTAGTCAATAACACATATACAGGGTGTGCGATCAGTGCATAATTTATCGATAGCTGTTTTATTATTAGAAATACGAAGAAATGTTTAATATAAAAGTTATATGACCAAATTTAACAAATATTCTTAAATATACAGAGTGGTCCATAAACAAGGTGCTGACCAAATCTATACTTTTTTAAAGCAAAACTCCCTGCAGGTAGTAATACATATTTGACTGTTTTAATATCGTCGAACAATTTTAATTGAGTTGCTATGTTGTATATAAGTTGTGTCAAAACGTAAGGTTACGATTTTCTCAATTTTTTAAATGGAATACCCTGTATTAATTGGTGGTATCCCACTAAACATGAAACATTACCAGTCTTTTTTGTAAAGTTTTTCATAGAGACTTTTCTTGATATATTTTTGAAACGATACTAAAATATCCCATAGATGTTTTACATCATATTCATTAACATTAACATTCCTCGCATATATCTACAAATGAAGTTTTATGTACGCTGCAAACTTGAATTAGCAGTTACATAAACATCTTTTGTACTTCTTTTTAGTTACTTCCTGTGACAAACATTTATATGATGTTAATTTTTATAAATCACAATAATATCGCATACAGGTCAGCACAGTAATGTGTACAAGTTACACATCTTTAAGATGGCTATCTTTAGTCTTTACATCGCAGACCTGTCAGACCCAACAGTTCGTCACGCGTTCATAGATGGAGCTACCAATGATCGCTTGCTACTTACGTAACCGGTAGTACTGTATATTATGGAGCAGTCTGTTGCCCAGTATTAGGTATTTTATCAAAGTTCTTACTTTTGCCTTTAATATTAATTAAGACTATTATTATCAATCATACTTTTTCTGTACAATTTTCTGGGATTAGAAATTAGAAGTAATATAAAATATTTATATAACATGGTCCATACAAAATTTAAAAGATAAAGATAAAAATAAAAAGGAACGTCACATTTGGTTCATTATGATTTTATTTTATGGGCTTTTATAATAACATCTACAAGAAGTAAAAAGACTTTCTTGGATATAACAGGAATGTCACATCTGGTTTGTTAGAACTTCCAATAACGTTGAATAACGTAACAAGGTAGCGATGTAATATCACAACGTCTTCATTGTTTCATCACAAAAGTAAACGTCCCTACTCTGGGCTTAGACGGTTATGAGTGCGTCCTACAGATGAAAACAAGAGTAAAAATGAGAGTTACAATGTAACAATGTGATGTAAAATTCTCATTAATTTAACTTTTTTATGCATAATGGGATGACATATAGGGTATTCCTTTTAAAAAATGAGAACATCATTACCCCTCATTTTGAAACACCGTATATATATCATAGCAAATAAATGAAGTCTATTAAAGTTGTTTGACAATGTGAAAACTAATATAAAAATGTATAAGTTTGGTCAGCCCCTCGTTTATGGACCATCCTGTATATTTAAGAATATTTATTAAACATGGTCATAGAACTTTTATATTAATTTGTTTTTCCTATTTCCAATAATAAAATAGCTATCGATCAATTACGCACTATTGGGACATGTTGGTATCATTGGATAGGTAAATTTATAAGGAATTTTATGCGAAAATATACAGTGTGTTGCATTTGACAAAATTGAGTAAATTGAACTTAAAATTAGCCATATCAACATTATTCAAAACACTCTGTATAAAATAAATCAGTTCTATCACCTCGGAAATGGAATAGTCTACAAAGATCAACCAGAAGTCCTTTTTTTGTGACAAATGGCGTGATAAATATTTATTGGTCTTAAGTTTTATGAAATGTAGGGTGTTCAAAAAATTTTAAATAAAATTGTTTCATTGGCCCTTCATTCTACGCCAATGGGTTGTGGTAATTTATCGAAATAGTGTGTTAACTAATAATAACGATTACATATCATATACATATTTACAAGTCTTTACTGTAAGGGAAGATATTTAGAAAATAAATATTTATGAAATTCACTTTATCACCCTGTAAAATGAAAACTGGGACGTTCATAGGAAACTTACTTTATAATTGATTAAGATCTACAAATCCCCAAAATTACGGTACTTTATTCTGAAACACTCTGTATAAATATATAAAAAATTAAAAACTTCATTATAAAACTTACTTTTTTCTGGAAATACACATATATGAACTCTAGACGTTGCATTGGTACCATATTCTAAGATAACACGCTGCGCATTCACCAAGTGTTACCCCCCAAGAAAAGAACCTAGCTACGCGCTTGTATTCATTTGACATATATTTTATGACAACTAAACTACTAAGTCTAGTCCTTACGTAATTTAATTAATACATCTCTAGAAGGTTTATGCTGCATTTTTTAATTCGAACAGCATACGAAGGAACTCGATTAATTAAAAAGATGTTACAAAAGCAGTTTTATAAATATTTTCCTCTGCCATAGAAATCTGGAGATAATCCCTAATAAAATACATTTCGGCTTTTGCAAAATTATATTTTGAAATATAGAGGCATCAAGGGTGCAACGATAATAAATTATCATTTCTTTCGAAGAAGTGAAGGAAGTCTCGAGTATGTCTCGAGTTCAGAGAATTAAAATTTTTACGTTTTTTTATTCTGGATATTTAAAAGTCTCGTATAAAATGCATCTGATAGCTATTCTTTTGAAACTTTTTTATAACAAATTGCGAATATTTGATTTCTGCTAGATGATTATTTTGGAGATTAGTTCCTAGAACGATTCCTGTGCATGCAGAACTAAAATGTATTTTCGTTAAAAGTAATAAAACAGTGATAAGGAACTTAAGATTAACGAGTTTTAATCAAAGATTCTAGAAAATTTTGTTAATCTGAAATAGTTTGTAAAAGCTAGAAAATTCAGTAAATGCTTTTGTAAGTTCAGTAATCGAATCAGATGAAATAACTGATTAGATTTGAGATAATGAATTTTTGATTTCAAGTAGAGCAACTAATACTAATCGACCTACTATGTATCCCAAACCTTATCCGCTAAGTAGAGGATATCATGGATATTTTCCTTACTAGAAGCTGATTGTTTTTGGTAGGCGTCGTTTCCAAATTTTTATTAACAAATCTTGGCTGACTATTTGTTAGCCTGCGACAATACTATAGCTAGGAATTTCTTACCTATAGTTGGAACATAAAAAAATTCGACAAATTACTGTTAACAGTTTAACATCATCAGATATTAAGAAATAATGAACATACAAATAAAAAATATATAATATATTTAATAAACATATTTAAAATAAGCTATAAGCAATTCACCTCACATTAAATTTAACATTTACATTTCTTTTTGTCACCTTTTCCACCAAGTTGCTTCATTAGTGCTTCCGTCGTAAGTGATTTAGGTCTCTCGATTGGAAAACCTATTCCTCTTGACCAAACTAACTGAGCCAAGGTGCCCATAGCGCGGGAAACTCCGAAAAGAACGGTATAGTACGACATTTGTGTGAGTCCATAATATTGCAAAAGTACCCCAGAATGTGCATCCACATTTGGCCATGGATTTGCAACTTTTCCTAGTTCCTTAAGTATAGGTGGTACAACTTTATAAATTGCAGATACTAGCTTGAAAACAGGGTCATTCGGTAAATGCTTTTCAGCAAATTCTCTTTGACATGTATACCTAGGATCTGTTATTCTCAGCACAGCATGACCATATCCCGGTATGACTTGACCAGATTTTAACGTTTTCCAAACAAAGTCTTTGAGTCTCTTTTCATTTGGATCATCACCGAGTTTTTCTCGCAATCTGTTTATCCATACCAATACTTCTTGATTAGCCAAACCGTGCAATGGTCCAGCTAATGCGTTCATTCCAGCAGCAAAAGCTAAGAATGGATCACTCAAAGTGGAACCGACTAAATGAATTGTGTGAGCCGAAGCATTACCTCCTTCATGATCACAATGAATTGTTAAGTACAGTCTCATAAGTTCAGCAAATTGTGGATCCGAATAACCCATCATCGTCATTAAATTGTAACTCCAATCTTTACTCGGATCTATTTCTACACAACCACATTCTTCGCTTCTAAATGAGTGATTGTAAATTTTAGCTGCTATTACTGGTAGTTTTGCTAGTAGGTCCATGCAATCTTCGTATACATATTCCCAATATACAGCCTTTTTTACTCCACTAGAATACGCTTTTTGGAATTTGCTTTCGGCACTTAATATTGTAACGGCCGCTGATAACTGGGCCATTGGATGTACGGTTTTCGACATTGTATCCATAGATTTTACGACATGACTTGGCAATTTTGCCCTTTTTGCCCATTCTTTCGATAACCAGTTAACTTGCTCTTGTGTTGGTACATCTCCTGTAAGCATAAGCCAAAAAATACCTTCTGGGAGAGGTTCTTTTCCACCTGGAGCTTTGGGTAATTGTTTTTGACAATCTGGAATTAGGTAAATATTGAGAAAAGGTCTTAAAAATACCAGATTTCTTTAAAAATTTACATCTAAGCTTTTGGAAGGACATTACTTTTAAAATATACAAAAAAATTTCTCATAAATCAACGTTTTTTATTATTATACTCTTCACAGAATGGTATCTGAAGAATATTATGCATTCGGTTCCATCCCTCCGATCTCACGTTTTGAAGTCCGTACGATAAGTTAAAAATAAAAAAAGATATCAATTTAAAAATTTCAAAAATAAACAAGCTCTATAAAGGGACTTAGTCTTTGCTTTTAAAAAAATTTGAATAGAAATGAGGGGTTAAATAAAAAAAATCCTATATCAAACACGAAATACGATATTAAGTGTAAGGGTTAAAGAAAAAGTCCTTTATTTCTCACAAGTCAATTTAATTGGCGACCGGTTTCGAAGCTGTCACTTCATCATCAGGCACAAACAGTTTGTTCTTGTAAAAACTATTTTGTGTTGTTTAGTTAATAATAGTCTTACATGTGTTTTAATTAATTTATTCAAACAGACATCTCGCGGTTTAACCTAACCTACAATATTTTTAAAAAATACTATTGTATTACATATGACTTTTTTAACTCGTTTTGTTAAACTTTATGTAGCGCTTCCTTTATGGAAATAGTCAAGGTGTGCCTGATGATGAAGTGACAGTTTCGAAACCGGTCGCCAATTAAATTGACATGTGAGAAATAAAGGACCTTTTCTTTAACCCCTTACACTTAATCCCTACTACTCACTCCAAAAAAAATACGATATTAACATAAAATTTTTGGTAAAAATTAAGCTCGATATTAAGATGAAGCTTATTGATTCTGAAAAAAATCTGATTTAAAATGGGGGCGAGGAGGGTTGAAATATTACAAAAAAGTCCTAACTCAAAAACGAAAAAAGATATCAACTCGAAATTTTTAGCAAAAATCAAGCTCTGTAATGGAAAGCTTCTTTTTTCTCAAATAAATCAAATTAAAAATGGGGCGTCTAAGGGCGGGTGGAAATTAAAAAAATATATATAAATTAAAAACGAAAAGCGATATTAACACAAAATTTTTAGTTAAAGTCAAGCTCTATAAAAAGATGAAGCCTATTGATTCTGAAAATATTTGAATCAAAATGAGGAGTTGAGGAGGCTGAACTAAAAAAAAATCCTAATTCAAAAATGAAAACCGATATCAGCTTGAAAGTTTTAGCAAAAATCAAGCTTTATAATAGGAAAAAGTTTTCTATTAAAACAAAATTAAAAATGAAGATTTACGGGGGGTTGCAATTAAAAAAAAAAAATGACAAGCACTATCAATATGAAATTTTTAGTCAAGCTGTATAAGAAAAGCCTATTGATTTTGAAGAAAATCTGAATAAAAATGACGGGATAAGATGGGGGTTGAAATAATGAAAAAAAATCCTAGTTTAAAAACAAAAAACGAAATCTCCCGGAAAATCAACCTTTATAAAGCTTATTGATTCTGGAAAATTCTGAATAAAAATGAGGGGTTAGGGGGGTTTCGAATATTTAATAAATCCTGACTCAAAAAAGAAAAATAATATCAACTTAAAATTTTTAGCAAAAATAGGACGAAGCCTATTGATTCTAAAAAAAATGAGGGTTAAAATATTGAAAAAAAAAAAATCCCAAATCAGAAACAAAAAACGATATCAAATTAAAATCTTTAGGAAAAATCCAGCTTTATAAGGAAATGAAGCCTATTAATTCTGAAAAAATCAGATTAAAAATAGAAGCTAATAGGAGTCTGTTAAACCGTGAATAGTATAATATAGAACGCCAATCATTATACAGGGTGTTTCAAAAAGATTGGTCATAAATTATACCTCATATTCTTGGGTCAAAAATAGGTCGATTAAACCGTACTTACGTACATACAAAAGTGCACCCAAAAATAGTTATATATAATAATAATAATAATGAGATAAAAATTTAAATAAATTTTTTTAACGTTGCTCTTAAACCGTTTGGCATTTTTTCATGAAATTTTATATGACGTGTTAGAATACCATGACTAATAATACCGAGGAAAGGGAAATATTTTTTTCTTGATTTTTATAGGTTTTTGGAGGGGGTCACCGCCCTTTTCTACACTCAACTTTTTTGTAGTATACAATTTAATTACAAATGAAACGCCACTGGAATGCAATATCCATTTGGAAACTTTTTTGTCTCTTAGTATTTGTTTGTAAAAAGTTTAGTTTAGACGATACAGCCATTTGAAATGATAACTTAAAAATATTAACAGGTGTTTAAAATATCATTCTCCTCCTGTATCCACTTACTACATAGTTTTAACAATGAAAATCGAATTTTGATATTTTTGCATACGTATAATTTACATTAAATATTGTCATTTTAAGTGGCTGTATCGTCTAAACCAAACATTTTACAAACAAATACTAGAAGACAAAAAAGTTGAGTAGAGAAAGGGGCGGTGACACCCTTCAAAATCCTACAAAAATAAAAAAAAATATATTGCCTCTACATCGATTTTGTTAGTCATGGTATTCCAATACGTCATATAAAATTTCATGAAAAAATGTCAAACGGTTTAAGAGCAACGTTAAAAAAATTCATTAAAATTTTTATCTTATACACCCTGTAACTATTTTTCGGTGCACTTTTGTATATAGGTAAGTACGGTTTAATCGATCTATTTTTGACCCAAGAATACGTCGAATAATTTATGATCAATCTTTTTGAAACACCCTGTATATCTTCATCTTAGTTTTTCTGTTATAAATGCGCAGTTTTGCCAAATATCTATATCGACAAAAAAAAGGAAAATAAAGAAGAGGTAAAAAAATATATAAAGATAAAAAGAAAACAGAACATAAAAGAGAAAGATGAAAAAGAAAAGTAAAAAAAGGAAAAAATAAAGAAAAAAAATAGAAATAGAAAAAAATAAGAAAAATAAAAAACAGAAAAAGTACCTTATGTTGGCCTATCATTCTTAAATACTTCAAAATAGGAATTGCTTCTAGCTTTAAATTCATCTCTGCCGGTGGAATTCATAACAAAAATCATAATTTATAAAAAAATTCGATTATATTCTAGTGTTTTTGCCAATTTTATCGACTTCAACCACTCTTATTTTGAGGTTTTGAATTCAAATTTCCATTGTATCATTTGTACTGCCTAGGTTTTTTTGATTATTTACCTTTAAAACGAGGTGAATCTTCTTTAAAGGTAAATTTTTGGAAAAGCAAAACATTGAACAGTAATTTTTGTAGTTACAACAAATAAAATTCATTAAAAAAACTCAAACTCTAAAAACTTTAAAAATTGCTCTAGCAATATAAAAAAATCACAAAAAATGTGCCAACAGAACTGACAATTCCTAAGTGCTTGTTAATAGTATTGACTAAATTGTCGGCAAATTAAGAAACTAATGTTTCCTTTTGGCACGTCCTCTTCCCACTAACCTCGCACTCATAAAAGTAGTACCTTCGAAATTCCAAACAAGATCCAAGCCAAGCTTTCATTATTATAGAATATGTTATCAACAGAATAACATAAACTTACTTATGTTTAAGTTTTTAAGATATCAACGTATACTATGCATATACAAGAATATTTAAAGTACCTACCTGGGAATCATCCAGGGGCCCTATTCTCAAATGTCTATTAAAAATGTCGCATTCGTCATACTGTCTACTACTAATGTCTATGAAAATGTAGATTGACTAACACTATCCATATTCTCAAAGGAAAATCGACATTTTGTAATCGGTGACATATTTGGCGAATGGTAATATATGGCAACATTGGATAGAAATATACAAGGCGGGTATATTACAGCACACAATTACTTGAAGGATCTCTTAGTAATACAAAATAATACTTCAAATATATCCCAAATATATGTCTTTTTGATAAATACTAATTAGAAAGTAGAGAAAATATAATATAATCTTTTTAACTGAAATTTCATAAGGGATCAAATAGAAAATTGAAAGTACAATTTGGTAAGAGATTAAATAGTAAGAAGAAGAAATATATTATTATAGTATAATCTAAACATTACATAAAATGTCTGTGATAAAAAATTTTACCCTGCTATTAGAAAAAATAGAGCTATATAAATTTCTTAATTGAATCTCTTGGAGAAACAGGAACAGCGTCGGATCGAGACTTCCAGTGCCTACCGATGCAGAATGGAGAAGGCCAACCTATCAAGTATTTTTCTTCCTTGAAGAGCAAAAAAGGCACTTTTTGCACAATGATGCTTTTTCCAAGGGTTATTTCGCATTTCTTATTCTCAAGGCCCACAGACTGAGGTTCACTGATTTAGATCCACTGAATGAGGCCCACTGATTGAGGCCCAATGCCTGAACGAGGACCCACTGCCCGAACAAGGGCCCACTGCCCGAACAAGGGCCCACAGCTTGAACGAAGGCCTACCGGTCTTTTGCCGGCCCAATCAGACACTGGACAGGACTATTAATTGATAAATTAGGTGAGATTGTAAATAATCATTTCATATATTTTTAAAAACAATTTGTTTACTTATTTTCATTTCTCTTAAAAATAAATATAAACTGTCACTGTCACGACACTCATAACATTATATTTAAAAAGGCATGCGCATAGCCCTCAGAAAGTCTAGATACCGCTTGGCGTATACTGTCAATACAAAAAAATGACCCCATTCAAGCTTGTCGCCATGTTAGGTAAATTTATGTTTTGGCTACACTGATTTTTAGTTTGTGTGTTCTGTAATACGTGAACACCGATAATCTGCACTTTGTTATTAGTTATAAGTGAGTGAGACGCACAATTTCTAATTTCAAATTAAGAACAAAACTTTAACAAACCTATTTGATTTTCCTAGATCTGTTCAGACAGGACCGGTTTTATAAAATTTCTCGTTCTTGAAATGTTATTTTTACATGGTTATATATTATTGGATAAGTGGTTTGTGTACATATTGCTATGAGAATTATAGAGAAATTCAGTGAGATTTATGTAATATAATTCAAATTACAAGTAAACCATCTGTTCCTGTTTGGCAATATGGAGAAAATACCTACTTCAATGCCAAATGTACTATTTAAAAGAATGTGATTGTTAACCGGTCATTTATTTATATGATATTATGAAAATAAAAACTCGAATTTTTTAACTAGGGAAAGATATACTTACATCGGTAACAAGGTATTTTTAGAAAAACTAATAGATTACTCCTATTCCTATAGTTTATTTGAAAATGAATAATAGCAAAATTATATAAAAATATGGACCTTTGCCATAAAAACTGTGCTACCAAGCATTTTCAAATAAACTATAATGATAATTTGATTTAATAGAGCGAGTATAAGATCTCACCTGTTAGAGAAATTGGGGCATAGGGAAAAGATTATGAAGCAGGTAAGCAGTCATTGCAAAAGATAAATATATAGAAGTTATTTTGAAAATTTGATAAAAAAACTAGTGGAACAACAAATGGAGTTGTCGCTATCGGAGATCTAATCAGCAGAAAGTAAAAAAAACTTTGGGAATGTTGGAAAAGGGCACAGCAATAGGCCCAAAACAATTCCTTGGTTTTTTAATAAATATAATCTGTGAGATGCAAAAAATACTGCTAGAGTGGAGAAGCAGTATTGTTCTAATGTAGAAAACCCAGGGACATACAGCAGTGCACTAACCATAGGCGAATAGTCACTAAATTATACAAGAGTCCCATCTCGATTTTATTTTTAAATATTTTTGAGAATACCTATTATTATTTGTTACATTGAGTTTAATAAAACCACAGATTTCGAACGTATTGAAAGTTATTTAAAAAGTACCTCTATAAATATATAGAAAATGTGTATATGACTAACTGGTTTTATTAATCTTTTTTTGGGGTAGGTAAATATATTTTGAAAAATTGACAAACTTCTTTTGAATAAAAGACAAAATATTTCTGTTTTTATTAACTGAACAATATTTTACACAAACATAATATATACCTATTTAAAAGAAAATATTATATTTTACAAGTATCGCATATTTATATGAAATAACTTACTCAATAAGAAAGAATTAAATGAAACAAATTAAAATAACAATGGATATGAAAAATTGCTTTAACAATTTAATCCTTAGATAAACTTATTCTTACATATTGCTTTAATCAATTTATTTACTATAAAAGTATATTTCCTATCATTTATTACATATAATAAAATAAAGCATAAAACATACAAACTATAATATGTACCTACTTAGAACGGAACTAATATTATTGTATCAAGGTAGTAATAGTGGACATTTTCCGAATAAAAAAAAGTAAAAAAGAAGTAACGGTCGACACGTTTTTCTGACTATTGGTCTTCATCAGTACGGTGCAGCCAAGTTCAAAGGATCATGGAACTTGTGTTGGAAAAATTGTACAATAGGTCACTAACAAGGAGCCAATAACACATTTGCCGTTTCAGCTAGTATCCCCAAATTTTCTGGGCTTATACTAAAGTCACAAAATGATTCAATGGTCTTCCTATGGCTATCAGTTATTCTTTCCTAACATTTTTTGGTATGCTACAACAAAACATACAAATTATTTGATTTTGTAAATACACAAATATTTGTGAAAACTTACACATGAAATGTTATTCCTTCCTTGTATCTTCTACCGTTAGATGCATTGTTACATTCACGTACAAAACAAAAAGAGATTTTGAAAATCCTGTAAAAATTTAACACCAAACCAAAAATGTTTTTTATTAAAATAAAACACTAAACGACTAAATTAAAAATAATGTTTTAAATAAAACCTTTACTAGAAGAACAAAATAAACAACACAACAGAAAATAAAATCGATTATATACGTCGAACGGCGATCTTACGCTTATTACTAAACTTGCGCCGATTCTGTCTTGTCAGTAGTGCCAACTTAAAATTTATTGACATTTATTTATCATGGCGCCCATCATATGGGGGGTCAAAATGTTTTTACGATGCGGTATCTAGACCTTCTGAGGGCTATGGGCATGCGACATCACAATGTCGACGGGTTGAGTACCACTCGACTTTATGTCTAACAACAAATGAAAAATTCGCCATTCCAGAATACGTTTTTGCGTTCTTATTCGACATTTCATCAATGTCGCGTGTGACATTTAGAAATAGACATTCGAGAATAGGGCCCCAGTTCGACACCACCGATTCAATGTAATCTTTTATTTTTGGCAGTTAAGTTTAATTACACTTGGCCTTAATTAAATATTCTTCGTCTGAATCGACGAAGAAGTTTCCAATATTTTAAAGAAAATTACATATTTCAGAAACAACTTTTCATTTGCCATCGCCATATTTGTTACGACTGAACTGAAACTGAAAACCTCTTTCTACACTCGGTTCACAAAAGGGCGCACCGAAAAATCAAAAACTGACCAGTTTCACCAGTCGAAAACGCTATAAATGTTATCGAAAAATACATTATTTATTACTTTATAGATTATGTAATATTAACATTTAGTTGTATGTTAAATACATTCAAAATAAATAAATCCCCAGATGTAACTGGAAATTAAGAGATAAAGTTGTTTAGGAAGATCAACAAAATAAATTAATAAAATTAGTGCGTTTTAAAATGGTTGTAAATATTTTTGGCATAACATTTAAACTGTACTTTTTTATAGCGTTTTTCCTGTCACAAACAGTTTGCACCGAGTTTATTCTAACTTTCTTCTTTTACATATTGATAAACAAGGATACAAATATACTTAGTGCGAACTTCCTGTGTCAATGAAAATCTCTATTATATAATGTATATTTTTTTTGTTGATTTGTATTTGGAACTTATGACAGAATAACAGAATAATTCTAAGAATAGGTTTGCATAAATGTTCCCCACGATCCTTTAATATATATAAAAATTCAAAATTTCATTTACAGGATTTTCGGTAGTATATTTTTAAAGTACTGTTCTTCCTAAAGCCTAAAATGTTAGTTTGGAAAAAAATTCTTGTCGTGTTTACCTGGAATTGTAAGACCTCGAAATCTAATTCCCTCGTTGGGATCGAGCAGAGATGTTTCATAAACCATAGATCTGATTCCTCGCATACCATTATACATCTGTCCGAGTTCAACGGCCATTATTTTGGCCTTTCCATGTTCTTTCCTAAACTTTTTTACCAATTCTGCATGTTTTGGGATTTTTTTTGCTATGATACCTTTTAAATCAGTGTTTGAAGAAGCACATTTGCTAAGAGTTTTTTGCAGGGCTGTTCTTGTACTCATTGTATCGTTCACATAAAATAAAAATTAGGTAAATACAAAAATGTCATGTCATAATAATAGACGTTTAAAAAGGCAAGCAATAGCCAACTGCTAAAATTAGTGGCTTTTTAGCGTTTGTTTTTTACTCTTCTACAGTCTAGAAGTGCAGTAAAAGCACATATTGAAAAAGTGCAGATGTAACATCATATTCCATAGCGTAGATATTTTGTTACACACTAAAATGTGCAAGGTATTTTTTGAAATCTCATCCCTAAAGGGGGAAAAGCTGTAAATTTTTGGGTGTTCGGTACTCAGATAACTGCACCGTATATTAGCGTAGGTCTTATGATGGCCGTGTAAGTCCATGCGGTGACTCTGGGGGAAACACCCCAGGTGCGCCCCACGGTTCGACGGCATTGTTTATAAGGGATGTATGCTCTTTTGCCTCTGATTTCTAAGTATGAGTTCCATGTTAACTTGCTGTCAAAGGTGAGATATAAATACTGTAAAGTTTAGTTTTGGGTTTAGGCGTTCTGGAGGCTTTAATAAGTCTCTAAATGAAGACGTTTGTTCTTGTGATTTAAATCACATCTCTTCTATGTCTATAAAAACACCTCTAAAGCGAACTATTGTCCAGAGATCTTTCCATTCGACCAGGAACTAGTTCTGAATCATTCATTTGATTGTAGCGGTGTTGTAATTACGATATTCCATATAATTTAAAAAAAACGTATGACAAAAGTAAATAAAAAGTTAAAATTCTTTGTAAGACTACAATTTTTGTGCAATTTTTGTAAAAACGTATTCCCAGTGACAGCTAGAGGTGGGTGCCTGACAGTAACAATTATTACAAGTTTAATTCTATGTACTTTACGATTTTGGTGCACAAATAACTAGTTTAGTATACAGCTGATCGAAACGAACATAAAGGGTTGTTGAATCCTTATAAAGCAAGACTTGAAATGAAATGAATTTACTAATTACATTAAAAAGTAACATCACTCTCCTAATCATAGAGTACCTACAAATTGCCAAACAACATTAAAGCCTGTAGAACTATTATACGATTTTAAAATTAAATTGAAAAAAATATGTTTTATAATAAAATGTTTAAATACTGTAAATGCATTCATATCAAATACTTAGTTTTAGGTATAAATTGTTCATCCTAAATTTATGGAATCTACAAAAAGTTGTGGTAAATTTTTGCTCTGTCATTTTTGGTTTAATATACTAGTATTTATTTAAACTTTAATTGTGAAAATGCAACTGCCTGTTAGTTCTTAGCAAGGGTAAGCTGTTTTAGATCTTTCTTGACAAGTTCAATGCACTTTTTCGTTTGTTTTTATCCTAACCTGCCAGAGATAAGGAGGCTAAAGATAATAAAAATACTTTTTACGAAGTCCAGTGGCGTGTTGTAAAAATAAAGGATCTTAAAGATTTATTACTGAGTCTTAAAGAAGATGTCAAAAGCCTTGAAGAGGATAATAAACAAGTAGGGACCTGTAAAAATTCAATAGTGTTTGAAGAAGTTGTTCAAGAAATTAATGAAAGAAATAACTGTAAGCGCAATATTATTCTTTTTGGGGTGCCAGAACAGGATCAAGTCCTATCAACAGAAGTTCGTAGCGAAAATTAAACAATTAAACACACAAGATTGTTTGTGTTCTGTAAGTCGTATACCAATGCTTCTCTTTGTTTGTCCTATGTATACTTTTCCACAAGTGGACGGAATTCTGTAGACCCCGGCTGATGCGAGGGGATCTCTGTGGTCTTTCACTGTTTTAAGATATACCCCTGGTTTCTTTGTTGGCTTTTCCTCAAGGATTTTGCCAATTCGGTCAGGGACACCTTCTACGTACGGTAGATAGACAGTTCCTCACTAGACTTGGTGTTATTTTCCCTTGTGCACAAAGCATGGATTGTCTTTTTTGTTGTATCGGTTTGCTTGTAACACTATTGTCAAGTGTTTCATTTCATCGTTGAAGTATCTTGGTTCACATATCCTAACCGATCTTTTTACTAAGGTGTTGATAACCGTGTCGCTTCTGTTTTGAATGATGGTTGAATCCATATTGTAGATATCGATCAATGTGTGTCTTCTTTTTTTATATACTTTGTGGCCTAGTTTATTGTCTTCTCGGCTGACTAACACATCTAGGAAAAGAATTTGTCTGTTTTCTTCTATTTCCATCGTGAACTGGATTTAAGGATGAAAACTTTTCTGCAGATCTTTTCTCCCGTGGCTCCAGATTACAAATGTGTCATCTACATACCTCAGCCAATGCTTAGGCCACAAAGTATATAGAAAGAAAAAACACACTGATCGATATCTTACTATATGGATGCAATCATCATCCAAAACAGAAGCGCACTGTTATCAAGATCTTAGTAAACAGAGCGTAAGGGATATGTGAACCAAGACACATCAACGATGAAATGAAACACCTGACAATAGTGTTACAAGCAAACGGATACAGCAAAAAAATACATAATCAATCCGTGCTACGCGCCCAATGGAGAATAAGACCAGTTCTAGTGAAGAACAAAACGAAGGAACTGTCTATCTACCGTAAGTAGAAGGTGTCATTGACCAAACTGGCAAAACCCTAAAGAAAAAGAAAATCGGCACTGTCTACAAGCCAACAAAGAAAATAGGAGAATATCTTATAACAGCGAATTAACGCAGAGATCAGATATCAGCAGGAGTCTACAGAATTCCATGCACTTGTGTAAAAGTATACATAGAACAAACAAAGAGTAGCATTGGTACACGACTAACAGAACACAAAACGAAGATGTCGTTTAGGACAAACCGAAAAGTCTGCAGTCGCCGAGCAGACGTTATCCAACGGAGAACACAAGATTATTTTCGAAAACACTGACCTACTAGCAACATCAAGACGTTAGTCGACCAGATTGCACTTGGAGGCTAAAAAAATACATAAACATAAAAAAAACTGCCATGGAAAGGAAGAAAAAACAAAATTACCTAGGAACTCTGAGCAAAGGAGGATTCAGTGTCAGTTGATACGTCTAGTACTTCGTCCACGTCACTGACGATGGCTGCCGCAGTTGTAGCTGAAACGTTTGGTAATAATAACTAAGTAAGACCACGGCATAACAGAACAGTCTGGGAACAAACAATTACATTGATGCTGGCTGTGAAAGCCTACATTATTACACCACTTCAATTATTATTTAGTACCAACATGCATTTTAAGCTGGAATATTGTAGTCTAATCTGGCACCCTTATTACAACTGATACGTTCTGGATATAGAAAAAGTTCGAAGAAAATTTATAAAATACCAATTTTTCAAAATTGATGGAATATATCCCGAACATGGTTGTGATTATGCGGAGCTATTTAATTAATTCGATATTAGTAGCTTGAGCCTAAGAAGAAACATAGCCTCGCTTTTCTTTCTATTTAAACTCATCTAAAATTTTATTGATTGTAGCGATATTTTTTCACAAATTAAATTCAAGAACCAACAAGCTATTCGAATGCCCTACGGCAAAAACCAACTTGATGTTAAAATCACCGTTTTACCTAACGTATAACAAATATAATAAAATTAGCTGTCATTGCGATATTTTTTCATTTTTCTTTTGGTGAACTAATTAAAAATGCAATGTAATATATTTTATTCTCTTTGTTTTATTTTTGTAAGAATTTATAAGTTTTCTTTAATATTTTATTGGCTCTTCTCAATATTAATTTGTTTTCTATTATAGTTTTATTTATATAGGTACTTCCATTTATTTTTCATGTAATTATATATGTTACATCATAACCTATAAGTAGAAATACTTTTGTAATTTAATAATTTTATTTATAGATATCGCTTTTATCATTGTTATTTACTATTAAGAATATTGTCCTGTAAATGGGAAACTGTTGGACACAATAAAGATATTATTATTATACATTACATTGTCAAATGAAGTTATATATAAATTATTATCGACGCTATAAAATCCCAGTATTCGGGAAATATAATAAACGCCGGCAACGTTTAATAACAAAGCCGTATTACGATTTACTCACCCCAATATGCACCCCATCTACGAACACCTGTGGCACGAGCACTTGCTCGCATCGCATGCGCTCCTGTATCTCGGCCTGGTATTCGGAGCTCATGAATACGTCTCTCTCGTCGAATTTAACCAGCAGCAGCCGCAGGATTTGTTTGACCTTCATGCACGCTTGATAAGTGTCCCGAAGGATTCCCATCGTCGTCGTGTAAACCACAACTTTACCGGCCTCTTTTTCTTTATAGTTCTAGAATAAAAAAAAGTTTCATGATTGATTTCTCCCTTAGGACGGTATCCTGGTGTATAAAAACCGTATGTGTATACCAAAAGTTAAATCGACTGATTTCAGAGTATTTGGAAATCTAATTCTCACTTATAATCTCCCTGGAGCTTGGGTGATTACCGGAAATTTTTCCGAGTACCTTACGCGACTTTCTTCAAAGAATCGTGTACGAGGAAAAGTTTCTAGTTATTAAATCAAGATCCTCGGAGATTCGGTAAGCAAATTCCACATCAAAATTAAAAATAATGACATTTTAATTAAATATACGAAACTAAAATTGCGAAGTAGGCTTTATAACTGTCAACGAACCTCATAAAATTAATGGAAGCTTATTGTTTACAAAAATGTCTTATGTTAGTAGAGTCGTTCTTGGTTGATTTGTTACAAATAAAATGGATTCCTTGAATTGTAGTTGCATGAAATAATCTAAAATAGATTAACAATACTCTAAATTATAAGCATAATTCATCTGAGCACTACTAAAATATACGGAACATTTGCTTAGTACTGTTTTAGATTTATAAAAAATTACAAAATTACATATTATCAGGCAAAAATTCGGTGCATTCACGCTGCATTATTGATTGCAACAATACAAATGTTTTAGTCCTAATAATTTATTTTAAGAAATTTTTGACAAAAAAATTATGGTTCAGAATAGGGCTAGGAGACTTTTCACGATTTATAGCAATACATGTTTTAAATTTGGATGAAAACCTTCTAAAAGTTTGCCCGATTTTCATTATGTGATTGGCTGTGATACAACCAGCCAATTATTTGGCATTGGGATAAGAACCTGTTGGAAAACCTACCTTGAACACCAT